CCCCATTCAATACTCTACACTCCCACTCACTCCATACCCCCATTCAATACTCTACACTCCCACTCACTCCATACCCCCATTCAATACTCTATACTTCCATTCACTCCATATCCTCATTTAATACTCAACACTCCCTCTCACACCCTACCCTCATTCAATACTCTACACTCCTACTCACTCCATACCCCCATTCAATACTCTATACTGCCACTCACTCCACATCCTCATTCAATACTTTATATTCCCATTCACTCCATACCCCATTCAATACTCTATACTGCTGCTCACTCCATTCCCCCACTCAATACGGTATACTGCCATTCACTCCATACCCCATTCACTCCATATCCCATTCCACACTCTACTCCAGTTCATTTCACCTCCCTGTCCTATACGCCACCCATCCCCAACCCCACTCTATACCCCCATTCACTGCAGACTCCAGTCATAGCAAACTCAGCCCCAGCTGCTGTCTACCATGCATTCACGCCTCCAGGTCTTTGCCCGCAAAGTTCCTTGTGTGGGGAATGCCCTCCCTGTGTGTGCTTGCTAGCAAGCCACAGTCTGTTGATCTAGGAAGGACCAGCTCAAATGCTCCATCCCCTCCGATAACCTCCACGGGCTTGGCTCAGAGAAAGAGCTCACTAGCACTCCTTGGCAGTGAGGGCTGTTGATGATGTACCAGCTTAGAAGGGGGCAAACACCAGGCTGGGGGGCGCTTAAGTTTTGGTCGATTGCTTCCTGACTCCGTGCCTGAGGCAAGAGCCCTTCTCTCCCATGCCGCAGGCTCTCCATCTGCCGGAAGGAGATGCCAATGTCATCTGGCTAGTCTGTGAAGCACCGAGCACAGGGCCTGGCCCGAGCCAGCATCACAGAACACCAGGCCAGGCTCCGCGACATCTCCCGAGGTAGCTACTTTGAAGACGAGGAGACCGAGGGTTAGAGTGGTGAAGCGACGAGCCCAAGGACACACAGCCAAGATGTAGCCGAAGGGGAGCTAGATCCAGGCAGGCTGGCTCCAGAGCCCAGGTCAGGGCAGATGAGCGGTGCTCATGGAAGGGGGGGCTGTGTCGGTGTTGTTGCTGGGAGCAGCCAGTCTCCCGTGCCGTTGGGATCTGGCTGAGATCCTCCCCGATGAGGAAGACTGCATTGGCCCAGGGCTGCCCCAGGACGCTCCATGCAGGAAGTCAGTTCCCTGGAGTTAGATAGTTGTGCAAGGGGTCAGGTCCGATTTCTGGTCGTCTTTCTGCCACTCTCCAAACCGCTGTCCCTTCCTCCAGGAAGCCCTCGCTGATCCCTCAGGGGGGCCCGAGACATTCTCTCCTGGGTTTCCTCCATCCTGCCCCCGCCCAATCACTCTGCTCCACCTGTCCTCCAGCCCTCACCACCTGGCCTGCCACCGAGCGCCCAGAACAGCAGGGTCCCAGCCCATTTGTGGCCATGAGCGTGTACCTGGCATCATCTAGCAAGGGGCTTCTGAGAGTGAGTAGGTTCTTCCCATTTGACAGCTGAGGACATTGAGGCTCAGAGAGGGGCAATAGCTTCCCCAGGGCCCCAAAGGAGGCCTGACGACCCCTCCCCGCCCCCCACTTCCCTTGCCTGGTCCAAGCAGCATCCGGCTAGTGGTTGAGTGCAGGAGGTGGAGGGAGGGGCACACAGAGAGGGAGAACGGGAAAGGCCAGGAGCCCAGGGGGCCCCATGTGTGAGAGAACAACCAGAGAAGGGGGAGAAGAGGACACCGCTCCCCCCCCTCCCAGCCCATGTCCAACCTGGGGCGGTCCACAAAGGCTAGAGACGCATGGACTGTCTTGTGTGGCCCCCTCTGATCCGGGGGACAGGCCAACACAGCTTCCACTCAGCCTTGGCATGCCTGCCTGGCTACCTGGAGATGGAGGCGTAGTTGGCATGGGCGCTGGCAGTGAGCTGCTGGCGAGGCTCTGGCGAATGGTCCAGGATGTCCTCCTGGTCGTCCTCCTCACTGGAGGGCTGTGCTACGGGCATCAGGATGAGCTCCGTGAGGCCGTGGAGGTCGGACACATGGCGGAAGGTCTGCAGGATCAGCACCATGGCAACCAGGCCCAGGAAGAGGTAGACTGCGGAGAGGGCAGAGGGGGGTTGGAGGGCAAGATCACAGCCTCACAGGACTACCCAGGGGACACCTGGGCCCGGTCCGTAACCACCTCCCGGGTCAGGCCAGGACCCCCGAGGAGCCTCCAGGCCCAGGCTGGGACTCACCTGTGACCAGCACCTTGTAGAGGGCTCCGTAGGGCTGCCCGGGGCTCTCCCCAGGCACGTAGTCGCCCAGGCCAATGGTGGACAGGGAGATGAAGCAGAAGTACAAGGCATCCAGGAAGCTCCAGGACTCTTCCAGGTAGGCAAAGACTGCGGCGGGCACCAGGAAGAAGAAGACCAGCACAACCACCAGCAGGGCCACCAGGTGCCAGCGGGCCGCCTGCCGAGGCTCCCAGCCCCTCCGCAGGCTCAGCCAGGCCAGGGGCTTGTGGGTCAGCAGCACCGACAGGCGCTGCACCGAGGCAGTCAGCAGCAGCATGGTGGCCGGCACGCCCAGGAGCGCGAAGACAATGGCAAAGGCCTTGCCAGAGTCGGTCAGTGGCGTCGTGTACCCGTAGCCTGTGGGAGCGAGGGAGATCCTTCTAGCTGCCCGGCACCTCCACTCAGGCGTCTGTGGATACCCCAAGCCAAGCCCTACTGTCACCTCCCAAACCTGCCCCTCCCACAGGCTCTCCAGGGCCCCAGATGGCACCTCCGTCCTTCTAACTTCTCAGGCCAAGAGCCTCGACTTCATCCCCGGCTCCTGGTTTGCTCACCCGCAGCCCCCTTCTGTCTGTGATGCTCCATCCTGCCGCCTCAACCTTTAAGCGCACCCGGCGTCCTGGCGCACACCTCAGTCCTGCCCACCGTAGCAGGCCACGGCAGGTTCTTCTCCCTGGTCTCCCTGCTCCCACCTCGCCCCCAGCTGGCCTCCCACCGGCCGCCAGAGGGCCCCTGGGATCACCTCAGCTGGGTCCCAGCCCTGCGCTCTGAAGAATTCTCCAGAAGCACATGAGCTGGGCGTCGGGTGAGCCCCCTCTGATCACAGTGGAGGATGTGAACAGCCCTGGTGTCAGACAGGGAGCTCTGTAAAGTCTACGGTGGCAGGCGGAGTTGGGTCTCCCTTTTGGCCCATTCTGAAGTTGTTTCCGTTTAAAAGGGAAAGAGAGGAAAAAGCGAAGGGGGCATCCACGTGGATGAAGGCCCTGGTGAAAGCTCTCTGGCCGCGGAGCAGGGATGGGAACAGGTTGGCTCCCACGCACAGTGCTGGGAGAGCGGACGGTCGCAGCTGCAGTTGGGTTCAAATCGAGTGCCTTGTCCGCTGGCCTCCCGGATGGTCCATTTCAAATTCATTCTAGTTTCTCTGGTTTCTCTGCTTTCTTTGCCAGTGAGGCTTTTACTTGCCTTGACTCCATTATGGCCGCTCATTTTTTCATTTTGGTTTTCTTCTTTCTTTTAATCATTTTATCAGGGGCTCATACAACTGTTATCACGATCCATACATACATCAATTGTGTAAAGCGCATTTATACACTCATTGCCCTCATCATTCTCAAAACATTTGCTCTCCACTCAAGCCCCTGGCATCAGCTCCTCATTTTTCCCCTCCCTCCCCGCTCCCCTCTCCCTCATGAAGCCTTGATAATTTATAAAGTATTTTGTCATAGCTTGCCCTGTCCGACATCTCCCTTCACCCACTTTTCTGTTGTCCGTCCCCCAGGGAGGAGGTCACATGTAGATCCTTGTAATCGGTTCCCCCTTTCCAACCCACTCTCCCTCCACCCTCCCAGTATCACCACTCCATTTTGGTTTTCTTAATGCTCTTCTGTTCGTGAAATCTTGGATGGGAATGTTGGGGAGAGATGGGGGGGCTAATAACGAGGAGTACAAGAAAGAAGGAAATCATCTAAAACCAATCATGCTGATGATTGTAGAACTCTGCTGGATAGGGCTGAATTCCTGCATTGTATATGTAAATTATAGGCCAATAAATGATTAAAAAAAAAAGCTCTCTAGTGGCTCCATCTTGGTCTGAAGAAAATAGAAAGACCCCCGGTGGTCCACAAGGCCCCCAAAGGTCTGACCCCATCCTCTCTAACCTCCTCCTGCTCACTTCTCTCCCTCAGGAGACCCAACAGGGCCCTGCACACCCCCCTCAGGGCCTGTGCACAGGCTCCTCTCCTGTGGGAGGAAGTCAGATACTTGCTGCCAGACTGCTGTCTCATCCCACCAGGGGGGTGGGGGGGTGGATGCTAGAGACAATGGGTTATCTCTCTCTGGAGCCTCAGGCCATTAGTTTGGTTCCTGTGGGCGGAGTTCACACCCAACTGATAATGGTTCCTATGGAGACCCAAAATCAAGTTAAACTGCTACCAGAAATCCAGGGTCCGCCTATCTTACCACATGTACACCCCAATCCCTCCTCCTTCCATAGCGTGTATGTCCCTAGATCACCCCCTCCCATCATTGTAATACCTGTAGCACAACCCTTTCCTGTGACATATGTCTTCACCTGTAACGTGGGGGCTTGCACGTCCCCAATGTCCCCAGAGAGTATAAAAGCTTGGGGAGCATTAAAGTTCTCACTCTCTTTCTCCAAGTGGATTACCAAGCGGGGCTGAGGTGAGCATACTACCATGAAATGTGTCTAACTCCATTTATTTCTATATATCTCTTTTATCTCTCATGCTCTCTATAACTTTACTATAATATTTACTTATTATCGCTGTACAATTGCGCCTACCGAACCCGTAGTGATTGTGCTAGGAGCTGGCTTCTTCTGGCACTCTCCCCCAGAGCACTCCCTGCCCAGGGACCTGCATGGCCTCCTCCCCTCTGCTCTTTGCTCTGTCACCTCACGGAATCCCCGTGTGGTGCATGGGTGACCTGATACAACTCCTCTAGCCTCAGTCTTTGTAACAACCACCGGATGACTGAGCTGGGCACTGCAAATGCCAGCCAAGGGGACGGCGCAGCTTGTTGACCATGCAAGTCCTTCACTCCCATGCAAACAGGGTGGGTGGAACGCTCAGCCCTGCCATCCCGCTAGGTTTACAGCGAACATCCTCAGAAGCACAAAGGGGGTGGGGGTGGGGGAATCTCAGGACCACCAAGAAAGAAGAGCCAGGAGGGGACATGGCCTTTGGATCCCAGATCCCTAGATGCCGAAGCTCCTTGATGCAGGAGACAGAGAGCCTTGAGACCAGACCCGGTAGACACCGCCGCAGCAGCAGCATGAGAGAGAGCAGAGGACTTCCCAGAGTGTCTTTAAGCAGGAGGCTTGCTTTCAGAGCACAGTGCATCCCGGGCATTTGTCTGAAGCTAAAGCCAAGTGCTTCCGGGCTGACAGGATTGCCTTTCAGGCCTTTAGTGGCAGAACTTAAGGGCTTTGTAATACTTGCCTGAGCAGAGCAGCTGCCAAGGAGCTGTGTGGCTGAAAGGCCACCAGAGAAGGTATGCCTGCAAGCATGGCTGAGAAGAGATGGTCCTAACCCAAGAAGTGTATCCTAAGTGTTTCTGATCCTGAATTGTAATCTGTGAACTTCCTCGATAAACCCCCTCAGTGGATGACCTGTGTGGCATGGCAACGTAGGACCAATCCAGCAGAGTAGACAGTGCTGTGGGAGGGATGCTGAGTGTCAGAACGGGTAAGGAAGGCTGGAGGGCAGAGGGCAGAGGTGCATCGGACCTCTGCCACACAGGAATTAACCTTGAGCTGATGTTGAGTTTAAGTCAGGGAAGGGCAGCTGTTGCCTCCATGCCATTTACACCCCTTCCCAAGGTGTTAACACCTTCCAGTTAACACCTTCCTATAGTCAGTTCATTTACTCGATCCCTGCTTCCCCTAGGAAGGAGCCCTGTGGTGTAGTGGTTACATGTTGGGCTGCAACCCACATGGTTGGTAGTTCGAAGCCACGGGAGAAAGACAGGGCTTTCTACCCCCGTGAAGTGACAGTCTTGGAAGCCCATAGGGCACAGGGTCACTTCTCCCCTGTGTTATATATAGGGTCACTATGAATATGGGCCTGGACTAGAGGGCAGTGAGTTTGTTTTTTATACGATTGCAATGAGTCATAATCAACCTCACAGGCAAGGGTCCGGCTTGGTATTTCCCAGATAAAGCCAATCAAAGTGTCCGATAAGCGACCGGGGTGGCGAGGGAGCTGGTTTACAGTGACCATAAAATGGCTTGCCCAAGGGACAAGACCTAGCGCTGTGGCCGCGCTGCCTGCATGGGCAGGCCTTCCTCTGTGTCCACTCCCTGTGAAAGAATCCTCTGGTTGTGCCCAGGACACATGGCCACGGGACACAGTTGCCCCCGCCCTTCACAGCCCAATGTGACTGTGGCCAATGTCTGGCCAATGAGGGCTATGAGCGTGTCAGAAACAGGAGACTTTCAGAAGGTGTCTTTAGGGAACCGGGTCTCTCTTCAGTCCTGCTGGCCTCCTGCAGGCAGGAGGGCTGGAGCTGCACAGCGACCTTGGACCCTGAGGTGCTCTTGTGCACAGGAAGGAGACACAGGGAGCTCACCGGAAGGGCCTGGGTCCTTGACCCAGTAGCACCAGTCCCTCCCAGGAAGTCCCTGCAGGGTGAGGGTCTTCCTTTAGGATTCCAACCATCGCGAACACAATGGGTTTTGATGGAGGCCCTCCAATTAACTGGAGGAAACGTCAGTTTTGCAAATGACACACAACTCTCATAAAAGCCGACCTGCAGAGTTATGAGTAGAAGGGGGGCTGTGAGCCTCAACTTCTGACCTGGGAGAGCGAAGTTCAACTCAGTCCCTGCCATTTCAGTTCTAGCCTGAGTCCAGCCAAGAATCTCCCTCCAAGTCTCCGTCTCCTTCTCTGCGGAAATGAACTTCTAAGTAATCCCCACTTCAAAGGCCTGATGGTGTACTGGTCATCTATTGAGTTGCTAACTGCAAGGTCAGCAGTTCAAAACCACCAGCTGTTCTGTGGAAGAAAGACGGGGTTTCCTACTCCCACGGAGAGTCGCAGGCTCGGAAACTCACCTGGGCAGTTCGACCCTGTCCTGAGGGTCACTATGAGTCAGCATCGGTTTGATAGCAGGGAGCTTGGTGTTTCAATGTTTGGTCAGAGGCAGCAGCGAGCAGCTGGCTTAGGTAGGCTGTGGGAGGCTGCTACCAGGCAGGCTGACAGTGCCAACCCACCAGCTGGTCTGCACGGGAAAGATGAGGCTGACTCCAGTGAAGAGTTACAACCGTGGAAACCCACAGGGGCCGTTCTACTGTCCTATCTGGTCGCCGTAAGAAGGACGGTAATGGGTGGGTTCGATTGTTAGTTGGTCAGTTGGTGCATAGTAATAATCTTCCAAAAAAAACCCCAAGCTCTCAAGAATGATGAGGGCAACAAATGTACACATGTGCTTGACACAATGGATGGATTGTGATAAGAATTGTAGGAGCCCCCAATAAAAGGATTTAAAAAACAAAACAAAACTCACTGGCATGGAGTTAGTTCTGACTCACAGCAACTCTGTAATAAAGACAGTACAGGAGAACGGCCCTTGCGGGTTGCTGAGACTGTAACTCTTTAGGAGAAGACAAAGCCTAATGT